TCTCTCTCTCTCTCTCTCTCTCTCTCTCTCTCTCGATTCAAACGAATATTATCTTCCTTCTCGATTCTGTCCGTAATTATCCGTAATGCTCCCGTTTTCGAGCATCGAACCTTCTCGCCGAGGTTTCTCTATTAGAAAATAAAAATTGCGACCGATACGTCTCGTCGATTATCTATCGAATCGGAAATATTCCGCTCTTCTTGTTCGCTCGATCGGTGGCCGAAGATACAGGATTTGGGAAGTGTGGTTCCCGAGTTATGGAATTCGGCACGTAAGCAATTCGACGGCTTCTTAAATGGGACCATGTTCGTCTGTATATGTAGAAAGTGCTCACCGTAAGAATCAAAAAGATTCCTAAGCACTTCAACGTCATGATTTTTCGAGTGTCGTGTTCCGAGGATGCCGTCCACATTAGAAATTCTACCACGTCCTTGGCCATTTGCGACGCTGTTGCCGGCGTGTCGTCGTCGTATTCGACCGCTCCCTCGAACAACATCTACGAGGAAAGAGGATCGGGAAGGGATCATAAAAAAGAAGAAAAAAAAGATTATTCGAAGGAATTGAGTTGCCAGAACGAATCGTGTTTTTCATACTTGCGGCATCGTGGTACGTCCACCTGGAAAATACGCGTTAAAGTATTGATTCTGCTCGCTCGGGAGCCCTGCTGGTGGTTCCATCCATCCCGTTAACAGGGAAAACACGTAATCCACTCCATCCCTCTGCGTTAAAATCATGTAAGTCAAATCCGGTGGATAAGCGCCAAAATTGGCCGCTTTCGCCGCTTCCTCGTTCGCATACGGAGACGGAATGTAATCGGACAATTTTCCCGGTCTCATGAAATAATTCCCTTCATCGTCGGGACCATCCTCCACCTAATCGAAAGGACGAAATCGTTCCATTATCCGGATCGTTACGGATCCCATCCATCCTTCGCTCCTCCACTTTTCTTTTTATTTATTTATTTATTTATTTATTTATAATTCTAAAACGTTCGAAACAGAAACCTCAAACTCGGAAGCAATCTGTTTAACCTCTTCCAAGCTGTGCGTTACGTTGATCAAATCGAGAAAACGAACGTATTGTAGACTGTGACACGTGCGACACACGGTTCGATAAACCTGCCATCCTCTTCTCAGTGCCGCGTGATCGAACGCTTTAAATACACCGTTGAACGACCAAGGATACCTCGGTACCCGAATCTCCAAATCTAGCGCATTCACGGACGACGATTCATTGAGAAAATAAAGAATTGCCCCGCAGCAGCTTCCGATCGCTCCCGCCATTAATCCGAATAATTTCATTCCTCTCCTATCGGGACTAACATGTGATCTGTGTCTCTCCCCGCTATATCTATCGCGAAACTTTGCGCACAGAGCTCGGTTAATTCTACCGATTATCGCCATAGTTGATTTCTTCCTCGAATGGACGATCGGATGCGATCGACAGTCGAATAACGACTCGGTTCACGCGAATTCTCTCGAATTCCATCTCGCGTTGTAAATCGTTCTAAATCGTTCTAAATCGTTCGCTTCT